CGAGAGAAAAGTTAGCTTATTTCAGTCGAATTGTGTTGATTTATGGTCACTGAAGTAGATTTCAAATATGTCAAGCGAATAAGCTTAGATTTATCCTTGGGAAAGAGCCGAAGTGTGGTAACTTTTCAATTTCAGTGCTTACTGAAAGAAACCCCGAGATCAATAAAGATCTAGGCTAGAAGTTTCTGGCTCCGGATACATATGAAACTTTTAATGAGATTCACATTATTTGAAAGAACTTCTATTTGCTGGAAGTTCGTGTTGTGAAATCGGTATATTCTGAAAATCGAGTCACTTTTTCTCTCAGCTTAATATAATTTTATAGATAGATTTTGAACCACCTGGCGATAAGCAAAAACAACGGAAAAGTTTAGCTTTAGTTCCACCGGCTTTTTGTTTTTGCTGTTCTTATCTTCGACAAGTAAACATAAAAACATCTCTAAAGCACAAAAAGGCAATTATTTTCACTCTAAAGCTGTAGTTGAAAGCCTTTTGCTGAAGTTGAAATTCTTTCGGTGCTGTTCGCGCACACGTGGCGCCATGAAACTTCTTTCCATTCTATCTCTGGCTCAACGGAATTCTTCAAAGAAAATTTTTCATGTTTTCTTTAAAACCCTAAAATTTCACCGGCGCAGCTGTCCTTATTCAACAAAGTTACAGTAATTCTTTTAAACTAGTCCGTTCAGTCTGTGCTTGTCGCGTATGATATTTACATTCAGCTGAAGTCACCTGTCAAACTCATGTCATTATATTTTCAACGCTTCGACGGGGTTATATTCCCTTTTGCCAGAACAGCTTTGACATTTACCGTTTATGAAATTTGAGGAAACAGAAATTTTAGAAAACAAAAAGTGGATTTTAAAGGAGGTATCAAAACAGCTCCAAGGCAGCAACTTGGGTAATCCTATGTTTTAATTGCGAGTTTTCCAAGCTTTCCGAGTTGGTAGGGTAACTAAAAGCCCTAAAGTTGCCGGAGCTGATTTTCGTGATTGTCTTATTTTGCCTATATTTATGGTATAGGGTTTAAACTTCAAGTGTTATATCACTGATAAAAGCCAGAAAAAGTGCACTGAGCGCTCTCTATTATCAACTTAGAATTCGTACAAAGGTGAGTCCAATTTTTCCAAGCATCGGAATTTGGGAAGAAAGACGAAACTATTCATAAAAATTGATAAAGATGCTATAAATGAAGGCAGGTATCTGAACAATGCACTTCCTTATTATATCCATATCTTTATAAAAACAAAAGAGCGAGCATGGTGAAGCGGCCTGACCTGCGAGCCAGTAACACTCTTTCAGCGGTCATTTCTCTGAGGTTTTTTTCGCAGTGATGACTTTTATGGATACGGTTAAAATTTTGGCCATTTTATGAATAACAATTAATTTCTTTCCGTTAAGGTTGCCTCAAAAAAATTTTTAAGCCTAACTTTTTAACGACTAACGAATAACGGTAAACCCCGTTGAGACCCCAAGGAACAACATTTCGCCGGGGAGCGCTTTCCTTGTTGCCATTAGCTCTCTAGTTTGAAATGCTGTGGTGTGGGTGTGTTTGTAAGTGTGTAGAATATGGGCGGATAAAGGAAAAAATTGTTCAAAACATTCTTTGGGAAGGCTAGTTGAAGTGTATGTCCCAGTTAAAACTATGACTCGGTACAATCTCTCTCTAAACAAACAAATTGCAGTCCACTTGCGAGGATAATTTCTCTGCTTAGTTTTTATCTCATCGGAGTCCTCATCCTTGTCTATATTTTAAAGTAAAGTTAAATTCTTTACGTACGGTCTTCGTTTCTATTTATGGCCCATGCTTACACCTAATTTATATGGTAATTGCAGATCACCTGTCCTTAGCTATAACCATGACAACTCCAGGAGAAGCAAGAGGAGGATACGAGAAGTACTTCACTGGCGGACTACACACTTTACATGAATCATCAACGAAGGAAGAAATTGAAGAATGTTATGATAAGTGGGCTGACGCTTATGACAGGGTAGGTATCTATATGCGGTCGCAAGAGATTGCTGTGAGCGGTAGATTCTTTTACTTCATCAGCGTGGAAGCGGGCTCTCAGTAGCAAACAGCGGCACGAACAGGTCTATGAGAAGTCTCATTATCTTTTCAGAAACCTCGCGCACTCACATTGCTCGTAGGGTCGCAGGCTCCAAACGCATGGCTTTTGCCACTAGTGTCGTGGCGCCAGTGAAAGCCTAAGCTGCTTCGGCACAAGCGCTTTTTCAACCGTGGGAAATAATGAAGCCTTGATCACACGAGCCAGCGAGAGAGTAAGGTCTGCTAGGGGTCTATAGGGCCGGTATTATTAGTACCAGACCGCCCCTTAAACCTCTCCTGGACTCGTCTCAACTCTTCCCGCGAGGGAAAACGCGCGACCTGCTCGTTGATAATGAGGACCTCCTCTCGGGCTCAGTTCGTAGGAAAGAAATTCTACCCTCTCCGCACCTCTACCGCCGAATATAAATTGCCTCTGGCACTAAAGAGAGGACGCCGTGGGGGAAAACGTCGGTTTTTTTCATTTTCTTATTGGTTTGTTTATTTGTTCGTTTGTTTGTTTCTTTTTTTGAAGATCTTACATTTAATAACGTACGAGGAACGCACTGACAGTTTATAGGTGATAAAATTGTAGATTGAAGTATTAATTCCAAAAGGAAAATAAAACTAAAGCTAAAACAACAACAGCCTTATGCGCCGCACTCCGAAGTTGCTTGCGGC